TTCAAGTCCTACCCGACTATCTCCCTGATTTTATAGTCAGCCCTTTATTTCCTTTTCCATTTTTGGATTAAAAAACAAAAGTAAAACCGATAAAGCCCTAAAAACCAAAATTTACCAAAAAAATCCCCCAAACCATTAAAACACCCCCCCCCCCAAAAAAAACTCAATGAGCTAAACAAAAAAACCTTTAACTAGACATAACTAGACAGCCATTCTTTTGGGCTAGGATAACCTCTTACCTTCTGACCTTATTTCAATGAAAGTAAATTTCACATCTGAGCTCCTGACTTCCACTGAGAACAAACAACGTTTTAAAGCTGCTACTAGAAATTCCAAGTGTTACCTAACCTCTGTGGATTGTTAGTCCAGAGAAGATTTGTATAACAGGCAGAAATGTTAGATTCTATCGCTAGGCTGCAATAGCTGTTTGTGCGCTAGCCAGGAACCTGAGCAGAACTGCTTTCTTTCCGAACAGAATGTACTAAAAGCAATTTTTAAAATCAGCATTGTGAAGAGAGAGAGGCGTTGCTGAAAATGGGAATCACATATAATTTTAGGAAACAATAGCATCATTTGGGTAACCAGGGATTGGAAGAATGTTTACAGTTTTGTTAACAAAATGGGTTTTGTGGTATAGGATAACTAAAATGTATTGTAGTGGCATGCTGTGATTATATAGTGTATGTATCTATGGATAAATTATATCTAGGACACTGTTAAAGGTAGTAAAATAAAACTATTACAAGGGTTAATTATTTCTGTTAAGTCTAGAATCAGTTTTCTGTTCTTGGATAGAGATAGCTTATTCCCAGGAATTTTCAGAATTCCTTTTGTAAGACTACAAACAATTTTGGTCACTGATTTCATTTCTTGATTTAAACTTCAAGACAACAGGAGATTTTTACTATTTTTCCCTCTCCTTATCAACTTGTGTAGGAACGTAATAACTGCATTATGTAAGAAGCTCAAGTAAAATCCTGTAGAGAAGCAATTTTCTCTAAGAGTCTTAAATTGAATTAAAATTATTGCCTTTTTCTCTGAACTATTGATAGAGTCTCCTAATTGACATAGGATCCCTAAACCAATTTTGATTTTCCCATTGATTCAGACAACTCATGTTCACTTACTTGAAGGTCCATATCTTCTCTAAAACCATTAGAGAAAGTACAGACATGTTTCTCTTCAAAATAACTTCTAGTCATTTAAAAAGTTTGTCCATGAATAATAAAAACAGAAGAGTGGATGTCACGGTTTGAAGAATGGATGACAAGATCTTATTCTAAATTATATTTGAATGGGTGGCGCCTGTGGCTCAAAGGAGTAGGGTGCTGGCCCCATATGCCAAAGGTGGCAGGTTCAAACCCAGCCCCGGCCCAAAACTGCAAAATAAATAAATAAATAAAAATAAAGAAAATGCCTTAAAAATAAATAAATTATATTTGAAGCAAAAAAAGAATGCACGCTAGAAAGATTAAAGTCAATATTAATCCAATAAGATGGTGTTCCCTAACCTTTTTGGCACCAGGGACCAGTTCATGGAAGACACCCCATGGATGGAGGTGAGGAGCATTAGATTCTCATAAGCAGTGTGCCACTTAGATCCTTCACATGCACCGTTAACAGTAGGGTTCAAGCTCCTATGAGACTCTAATGCCATCCCTGGGGAATGGCTGTGAATACAGAGGAAGCTTTCCTTGCTTTCACTTTCTGCTGTGTGGCCCAGTTCCTAACAGGTCACAGACTAGCTACCTGTCCACAGCCTTGAGACTGGACCACAGCAATAAGTATGGGCCTTTTGAGCTGCCAGTACAAGATCCTTAAGTAAAAGGGGGAAATTATTAAGGTTACTGATTTAGCCTTAATTCATAGATCACTACAAAAGTTTTCCTACAGACTGTTATCATCCATTATTTCACTTTCAAGAAACATGGGCAACAGCATCCTTTCTGATTCATCCATGCTAGTTTCAACTCTCTTGGCTTATTGGTGTGGCTGGAAGGGCTTCATTTGTTTCTGTTCATGGGAATTCTATGTTTCTTGATTTTTGTGTATCTCAAAACTTTCATAGGCTC